AAACTGTTTTTCATTTACATTGCTACGTGGCCCTGTTTCATTGGGCGTTGCAAGGGAGTGTTATTAACATGACCGCAGCCATACCTTTTTTATTATTTTTACTTTTGCTTTTATTCGACGTTTTTTTAAGGCTTAGTTTGGAAAGAGTACATGTAAAGTGTAAAACCTTGTATTTTGTATGTATTTGTACTGTACATACATATTTGTATTTATACTCTTCCCAAACTCAGCCAAGAGTCATGAGAGCATTATTTCTATTAATTCTAGGCCAACCCAATCAGATGGTTGTAGAGGTGTAATTTGCCCACTTTTGTGGGCCGCTTGCACTGTAGCGGGACGTGCTTGCTTGGCCTGGAACCCCTTAAAAAGGAAGTTCTGCACAGCATTAGGCACAAGTTAGGCTGGGTTGTGGGTAGTACAATTTTTTTAGAAAATTTGAAAAAATAATAAAAAATTAAAATAAATTAACAAGATAAACAATAAATTAAAAAATTTATATATATAAAATACATTATTATATATTATTAAATATATATATATATAATATTAATATATATGGGCTATGTTAGGCCACCATCCAAACCATGCCAGGCCGGCATGTGGGCCGCATTGGGCCGGCCTGGGCCGGCCCACTGTACAGCTCTAGGTAGTTGCACAATGTTTCTGATCAGTTTAGTGATTCGAGGGTTGGGTCATTGGTGTATTAATTGGATTGTCCGAGCATTACCGTAGAATCAAATCTCGCAACCAGCACTTTAGAAAAAAGAAAAATAGGGGGTTGAAGGGAAAAAGAAAAAAAATATTGCTGATTTACCAAAAAAGGGAAAATAACCAATTAATAAATATCAGAATTATATAACCCTATATTACAGGGCGAATACATCCTGACGGTGAATTGATATCAAATTCACGAATAACATTTAGTTTAGTTTATAGGGGGGAGAGGACTAATAGTAGGGAGCTGGAATTCAGAATTCTGCATGGGATGTATCCGTATTTCTCAGTTTACTGATTCCGAAACATTCTCTTTCTGGTAGGCTCACGTATTTTATGACAGATGAGATGAATGATAATACCCGATGTCTTGTCAGTATCAAAAAATCATTTAATATATTAATTTCTGCTGTCCCATTCCTGTATCCGGAAAGCGGCAACTACAGACTGAGCTATCACCATTTTTTTTATTTGAGCTTTCTTTACTAGTTTAAGTTATTGGTTAAATAAAGACTAATCAGCTTTTTTTGGTAAGCAAGACTAATCAGCTTAGACAAGGCAACATGTACCGAAGCTGACTTTAGAAAATAAAATGGATCAAGGTTGATCCACCTCTTGTCAATTATTTGAATTAGTTGTTGAAATTAAGAAATAAAATGGATGTTTCTTTGTGGGTTCCAAATCCCAGAGGACCTAACTGATGAAACCATGAAAAGTGCATAATGGGTCTAGAAAAATGGATATGGGCATAGGTAATGAAAAACAATTTGAAGGCCCATAATTTAACCATAGAGGCATAGATATGGAGAGTAAATCAGCCTCCACCAGATTGCCCCCCACAACGTCCCACAGCACATCTCTGCTGTGTATTGTGAACATCTCGGGCTGGGTGGGGGGCTGATTTGAACTCATAGATATGGCACTGAACATAAAGAAGGAAAATATGGCTTAATTTATGGGCAGAAATTCAAGGGCCGGGTATAGAATGGAACGGTTCGTATCCAAAGATCTTTAGCTTGAACCAAACCCATTCCGCCAAGTTAACTTAATTTTTTAGCTTCATGGAGCTACACAAAGGGGTAGTCCATTCCCCATCCCCTTAAACCTCCTTGGTGGCACTAGGATTTGGTCCCAGCTCTCCATTACAACAAGTCACAGATCCAACCAACTGAGCCACCATTAGTTAGTATGCCAAATTAACATATAAAATCCTAGAATGAAAACTATAGTAATTGAGCAGGAAAAACTGGATATATTTAAACATAATGTGAGTTAGAAAAGGTCATTAACCAATGTTGGCCGGCCCTAGCTCTTTAGGATTTGGGGAGGAGTGGAATGGATGTGGGCCTTATCTTTGGCATATTTTAGCACAAAGTGGCTTTTTTCAGACTTGAGCCCACTTATATGTTCTCACACTTGACTAGGGATGGTAATTTCCACCCTACCCCATAGATACTCACCCCTATCCTCACTGGAAGGGCTGTTTTTCTTTTTCTTTTTTTTTTTTTTTTAAAAAAAAAAAACTGGATTTTGGAGCAAGGATGGGTTTTAGGGTTTCACGACCTATATGGGTACGAATAAAGTACAATATTAGCCTAAACTCAACCCTCCTGAGCCATATATTGAATTTACTAAAATACCCTCATTGTTTACAATTAAATTACCAATATACTAGGAGATATATGTATGTTTTAAATTGGAAACCCTAAACCTTCCTCACTCAGTAACTCTCACTCTTCACCCAATATCCCTTGTTCTAACCTCAGTAGTTGGCCATTGTTCCTCCACCATTAGACTTTCTTGTCCTATGTTGAAGCTTGTTATGTTGGTTTGTGTCTCAGATTTTATGGATTATGAACTTAAGCATTACGTGTTGGACGTTGACTTTGTTGTTGTAGTTTATGTGTTTTATACATGTTTCAATTAAATAATTAAAAATTTTGATGCTTTTCATGTTATTTAACTTGTTTAGAAGTGGTTTCTGGACCTGGCCCATCCACCTTCAAATGTAGAAAGGGTACGGTCAAGGATGATTTGGATTTTGAAAATCCAACCTATTACGGGTTTTGGGAAAGGTATAAGTTGAAAGGTTCGGGGAAACAGGAAGATTCTAGAATTTATAAAACCCTCTCCGAATTCACCCTTTTTTCATCCCTACTTAACAATCCAAGATTTTAAAACACAAGGCGCAATATGTTTGTCCAACTTGATACCATATCTGGACTTGGACCAGGATAGATACATTGGATCACCACAAGATATATAAAATGGAAACATATTTCTCCAACTGGATCTTGTCCATGGATCTGTTAGAACACAAGGCCAATAATCTGGAGCCCGCAAGAAGTTTCCTTCAATTAGCAACAAAAATAATTAAAATAAAAATTTACTTGCAAAACTTACTCTTAGGCTTCGTTTGGTTTCATTGACAATAAGAGAGAAACTGAAGGAACATTGATTGTGTTTACTTCCCGAGTCCACATTAGCTAAGACCCCCTTCAGTAAAACTTGCTAATGAATAGACTGTGTAGGGTAAAAAAATGGGCCTTCTTGGGCCTCCAAGAATTCTTGTATAAAGAAGGCTCATATGCAGCCAGAAAGAAAACATAGGTTGAAGTACTGATAAATGATTTTGAGGCCCATAATTTAATAATGGATATGGCACTATCAAAGCAGAATGGTGGAACAGAATTCATTTAACCCACCGGCCAATCCCATATGGTTGGGTCAAGGTTTAGTGGAATTGAGTTGAATTAACATCTTATGCTTTGATCTTGAAACCCAAACAGTAGATGAACATGTTAAATAAGTTGTGAAACAATTCTCCCATATATCCTGTGGATGTTTTTTTAGGTCTCAAAGACTGAAATGGATTCTTTTGTGGTATATTGAGAGGAGTTATAAGATAGAAAAGGTGCACATACTAAAGTGATGTCTAGAATTGGCAGAGGTAGCCCTTACTTTGGATAAAGTTGTTGTGGAATGGGATGCACTGTTGATCATTGGAGCTCTTTAGGGTTATTGGATCAATGTCTTTATCCTTGCAGTGGAAACCATTTTGGCTTCTAAAGACTCTCTTTTGTGGACGTTTTTTTTACAGCATTTTATATATAATGTAGATACTTGTCTTGGCTTTAGTGTACACACACTCTCTCTTTCATATTTCTTTTCCCATGTGTTATTTTATTTATAAAAGCTACATATTGGGATCAGCCAATTACTCATAAAAAATATTTGGATATTGGGATCAATCAAAATGCCAAATGAATCAGACTATATATGCCATAGTATTCGAACCTAAGGATGACAATTTCTACCTTACCTGATGAGTACCCACCTCATTGGAGTATGTTTTTTTGTTTGAAAAATGGATTTTGGAACAGAGATGGATTCTGGAATTTTACAACCCAAGTAGGTGCAGTTATGGATAGGGTACAGTATAAGATTAAACCTGACCTTCCATCATTATCATCATCCATTCCTTGTCACAACTAAAATACCCCTAGTGGGCTGCTTACAATAGACCTGTATGTATTATGTGTTGAATTTAATATTTTGAGTTTATGTGAAGGACAATTGATAATTTTTGTGTTTTCTACATGTTTCATTTAAATAATTAAAAATTTTGGTTTGTTCATATTATTTTGATTTTTTATTATTTATACATAACAGGAAATTAGATGTGGGATTTAAACCTGATCCATCCCACCCTAAAATGTGGAGAGTGTAGAACCTGGGAGGGTTTTACATTTTCATGTGCGAAGCAGGTTTTCATTCTGAAAATACAATCTGCTATATGATTTGGAGGTTTGGAGAAGAAGAGAGGATCTGAAATTTACAAAAGTCTCCCCTAACCCTTCCCATTGCTACCCTTAGCACTCCCGACTCCTTGGGTGAAGAATTTTCACTCCTTGAATTCACAAAGGTACTGATGGTGATGGCCACGTATCCAGCATTATATTTTTAAAACTTGATTTCAGGCGGAGTACGTCTCTATCATTTGAATGCTTTAATTTGAAGGATGCTTCCGTCTTAAATTTTAAGCATCCAAGATAAGCTCAGATCAGATCAAGCTTTCTACTCAGACATTTCCCCAATCTCAATACCCACTGGATTGGCCCAACTAGTCTACCGACAGTGATGACATAAAAATCAAGCTCAGCTCATCAGCAGATAATGAACACAGAACAGAGGGGAATTTTCCCGTGAAATCAATTAATTACAACAAAAATCCAGAGTCCAAACCCATCTATTTATTTCTAGCCCTCTCCCTCCCCGTGATCAACCTTTATGAACTTCCTTAAATGACACATCCATGCACCAACGACCAACCCAACATGGCCCCATCTCTCATTAACTTCTCCTATTCTTTCTTTAACGCCTCCATCGTTCAAATATTTGCTTCAACTCAAGCAACCACACCTCTCCCAATCACTCACACAGTCTCTCCCTCTCTCTCTCTCTCTCTCTCTCTCTCTCTCTCAGAGTCGAAATGAGGCTCCTTCCCTCACTACCAGCAGCGGTTGTCCTAACCCTCATGTGGGTTCCTCTTGCAATGCCCTTCACGGTGATAATGTCAGATTCCGGCGTTCCATCGGCCCTCGTCGACGCCCCACAGACAGGCTTCTCCATGAACAAGAACGGATCAGCCCGGACCAATCCCCAGGAGCAGCAAGCGGTTTACGAGATCATGAAAGCCACCGGCAACGGATGGGCGACAGAGATTCCCGACGTGTGCCGTGGCAGGTGGCACGGGATCGAGTGCATGCCGGACAAGGATGAAGTGTTCCATGTAGTGTCGCTCTCTTTCGGAGCACTCTCCGACGACACCGCCTTCCCTACCTGCGACCAGACACAGTCCTTCATCTCACCTTCCATTACCAAGCTCCCATACATCAGAACTCTCTTCTTCTACCGTTGTTTCAGTTATAATCCCCAGCCCATCCCTTCTTTCCTCGGTCAGCTGGGCCCCACCCTCCAGTCTCTGGTGCTTAGGGACAATGGCCACGTGGGGCCCATTCCGGCTGAGTTGGGTAATCTGACCCGCTTGAGGGTCCTCGATCTCCACCGAAACAATCTCAACGGTTCGATACCGGTTTCACTTGGCCGGATCGCCGGTCTAAGGTCGTTGGATTTGAGTGAGAACAGACTAACCGGCCCAATACCTAGCCTGAGCTTCCCCGTTTTGAATGTGTTGGACCTGAGCCAGAATCACCTCATGGGCCCAATCCCTTCTAGCCTTGGAAATTGTCCTTCGCTCATTAAAATGGATATGAGCCGAAACCGGCTCTCCGGCCCAATACCCATATCCATCGGTGCCCTCAAGAGCCTGATTCTCATGGATCTCAGCTACAATCGCTTGTCGGGTCCCCTCCCAATCTCAATCCGGAGCTTAAATTCTCTCCAAGCTTTGATTCTCAAGGGGAATCCAATGGACTCGACGACCATTCCCGGTGATGGGTTCGAGGGGTTGAAGGGTCTAATGATACTGGTTCTATCCGACATGGGTCTGGAGGGACCCATACCCGACGCGCTAGGCCGGTTGCCGAGCTTAAGGGTTGTTCATCTGGACCGGAACAATATTAACGGTTCAATCCCTCTGAGCTTCCAAGACATGAAGGATCTCAGCGAGCTGAGACTAAACGATAACCGGTTGACCGGACCGGTACCATTCAGCAGAGAAACAGTATGGAGGATGGGGAGGAAGCTGAGGCTTTACAACAATTCGGGTCTCTGCATTGACCCACGAACCGGTATTGAAGTGGGTTCGGACGTTTCATTCCTTTCGGGCATCAGCCTCTGTGAGATGCCCAAATCAACACCGACAAGAACAACTCAGCATCTTACCTCCATTAGTGGAGACACACAGAGACCAGTTTGGAGTTCAAATTCAACATCCTCTGCAACTAAGGAAGCCACTTTTCTTCTTCTGCACATAACGACCTTGCTTTTCTTCCTTTCTTTATTGTGAGATGTTGGCCACATGGATTGTCAAATTTTGTATTGTAAATCTTATAAAAACAAAGACTAAAAGAGACGTTCTTCACCATCCCATCAACTCTTTCTACAGTTGTATTTCCCCCAAAAGCTTCATACAAACAAGCTCAAATGCCAAATTAAGAGAAGGCATATCCAAACAGCGGAATTCCAATTAAACAGATATATAATTTTATCCCATTCCCATCAACTAAGAGTGTTAATGGACCAGTTTTGGACTGGATCCTGTCCAGTCTAAAATCAATTTAGACAGATTAGATGGACAAAAAAGACAGTGGATTGGATCAATTCGATCCAAAATATTTATTAGATTGGACTGGACCTGGTCTGTCCATAATAAATTTATATTGAATTTGGTTGGATTAAGCCAATAACCAGTCCATTAATATAATAAGAATATAAGTGTAAATGGACCAGGTTTAAGTTGAAACAATCTAAATTAAAATGAATTTAAACAAATTGAATGGTCCAAACATTAAATTAGACTTGTCCAAAATGATCCAAATATTCATTAGATTTGATAGGACCTGATCCATTTGTAATAACAAATGGACTCACATTGGACTGGATCGACAAATACCTGTCCAATTCCAATTCCACAATCTAAGTCAAGATGTGATCGAATTGCCTTCTGAGGTGTGAATGGGCCAAAAGATAAAATTCCCACAAGAACCCAAATAAAAAAAATCCCGTCATGACTGATGTGAATAAAGAAGAAAAGTGGGCATCTGCTGCCTGCCTTTGAAGTCTTCGATGCTGGGGACTTGGTGGTCGTAATGCTTTCCATGTGTCGAGGTTTCTTGGAAGTTTTTGTTGTCTGAGTTCTCCAATGGGAACAAAGGTTCCTTCTCTCTTTTGGTTGAATCTCTTTTCGAAATTCTCAGAACAGGCCCACCCTAGTGGGAGACGCATTCATATTTTGTAGACCCAGAAAGGCAGAAGGTTTATTTGATGTAGCAAACTCTTTATTATCTGCTTTAATTAGTCACATCTCCCTATAGAAGATCAACATTAACACAGCTAGTTCTAATTTGATATTTTAGTCCTGTCAGCTTCATTTGAAGCAATGGAATTAATCCACCCAAGAACAATAAATTGATGCTTTGGATGATTCTTGCCTTCTTAGTTAGGATCTGGTCGGACCCAAATTTAGATGCCTACACAAAGATTGTCTGCAATTAATTTAAATTGTTGTTTTCTCTGGTTTGATGAAGCAGCTGGTGACTGCTTTGAAGACTTATCTTACAGCCACTAATGACAAAAAGGGAGGAAGAGAAGAAAGGAACAAAAAAAATTTCAGTCCTCTGCAGCCTCCTCTGGATGAATCAGCAATGATCGAGTTGGTATCGACCATTATGGTACAGGGATGTCATATGAGTATACCAGTCAGTCAGTCCTCGTGATGAATGTTATTCTTGACTCCATACATGTTAGCTTTGGAAAAGATAAAAAGGATGAACTGAAAAGTTGGAATAATGGAGAGAGATGCTTTCTTTACCGTAGAAAGGTTTAAAATGAGTTGGGCTAAAGCCTGTAACTCTGAAGACATGATGGGGTTCTTTTATTTTCTTTTAAGAAATTAAAAAATGAATAAAGAAAAGTTTAAGTGGAATAGGTAAAGTTAACTATCAAGGGCCCGTTTGGGAGAGCTTCTATGTTGAACGAACCATTTTGGAGAAAGTACTTAAGATAGCTTCGTTGGAAAGTCGATTTTTTATTCATGTTATAATTAACCCTATTTTCAGTTTTCTTGTTTTTTTTTTACTAAACCATCACTTAACGGCTTTTTGAATTTCTCACATTGAATGAATCACTTTGGACTATTCATTTCATATGGTTGAATCATTGACCCAAAGAAAAAACGGTTCAACCTTTGAACCGACCAAAATTGTCAAAGAACCATATCTGAATGGCCAATTGAAATAAACTGGCCCGAATAGGTACCATATAATGGGTGAGGGACAAAATTCTTACATGGGATTATGGGAAAGTAGATTTATTCAACCAAAAAGCATAATTGATATGAATTTAGTATCATGTGTGTGTATATATGTAGTGGCCGACATGCCACTAGATGTTGGAATTGGAGGAGCCCTTTTTACCAATTAATTTATTTCTTTACACTGATCTCATATGTCAAAACAGGTATTCAGTTAATGCAAGAGAAAAGATCAAGGGGTCAAGTAGTTATTTAACAAAAAACAAAATACATTCATTACTTATTTCTTAATAAAAGAGTAATTAACTAAAACCTATCAGCACTTAATTACTTTTGAATACCTCCAAGGAACCCCTGTCATATACATTCCATTAACTGATAAGGAAAAAAAAAATACAACGTTACTGTTCTACCCAGCAGACACTATACGAATCGGACATGGTTATTTTAATATATTCAAAATATCCTAAATAGTAATTGTTATACAAATGAACAAAATACCACTGGACCTTATATATGTTTGTTAAGCATCAGAACATACCAATGCTAGGTGTTGGTGCGTTAAATGGACAGTCTTGTGCGTTCAAAGGGGTGGAAGCGGGATTTTTTCTTGGATGCCAAAAGTTAATAGATATGGATGGGACAAGAAAGTGGGATAAATGGAAATTATGATAATTTTTAAGGCACTATTAAGTGTGTATGTGGGAATTTTTTTTTTTATAATGACGATAGTAAATAATATGTGTTCTAAAATTTTTTATATTATTCTTATAATTTTATGTCTATAAAAATTATTGTTGTTTGGCATACTTATTTTTGTTTATTATGATAGATATACAATATTAGAGATATGTCCAAATATTTTTTATAATTGTTTTAATCTTTTTTAATGAAAATTAATACCTTAAATATAATACTTATTGAAAGTAATTTGAACGAGGAGGAAAGTAGTTATTCAAATTATATTTTTGTTCTTATAATTAGGGAGCAACCAAATTCAAAGAGAGAGGGAGAGAGATGGCTCCTCTCCACCACCCACGCATGCAAATGAATGTACATCATTGCTTCCTTATTTTTATGAGATGGTTAGCATATGTTAAGGGTATTTTTGTCACATTAAAAGCAGATGAAATGACATCAAGTGAGTAAGAGTCATTTTTGTCATTTGAAAATTTCTATTTATGAGACCATAAAAAACCATAACATAAAGGAAGTATATAATCTACACAAAACTTGATGTCAGGAGAAGCTTTAGACATTATGACAATAAAGTTAGGGGAGGTTTCAAATAATTTCTCAAAAAGAATTTTCATGGAGCTAAAATTGATGATATATATTAAAACCTAAAGAAAAAAAAAAAATTAGAGTATCAGCATTTAGTGGGCCAGGTTCCTTCTAGAAAAGCCTCCATGAGTTTGAAAATACTCGCTTCATTAAAAAAGCATGGATAAATCATAATTGTTAGTCATAAAGTATGACAACTAAAGTGAATACAAAGCCAATGCAAAGCAAACAAAAAGATAATAAAAAAGAAAAAGTTGTACACCAAAACCCCCCATCATTCTCTTTTTGACGAACATGTCCTACAAACTTTTGAGGAATTATTTCTCTCTCTGCTCAGACTAAACTTACTTATGTAATAAGTAATTTGTACATCATCTCCATTCATGCTCACAACCATATATGTGCTCCTCTCAACAACTAAACCGAGTCAATGCTTGATGACATACGACTCGATTAACCTCCGCTCCTTTTTATCAGCTTCATACGCTGCACCGACCCGATGAATGTTCTGCCACATCATCATTTCCAACTTGTTAGTGCACACGATGTAAAAGGGCAAAGAAAAACAATGCATTATGCAACCCTACAAGTGCTGTTAATGGATCGGATCGTTCGTGCAAAGCAACCCGATCCATCATTTCATGGTCCCACCTATGATACCGACCTGATCCACTCATCATTTCTTTAGGACCATCCAGAAGAATTGGTTGCTTGGATCGTTATGATCAAGCAATCAAGTCAACTTTAGAAATCAGTGATTCCACTTCTACTGACTGTCTTGCAGAGTGGCCGGTTCAAACACAAATCGATTAGGGAATCTCTTTTGACCCGACCCGGGAAACCATCTAATTTAACGATTATCGGGTCTCAAGTCTCATAAACTGGTAAACATAGTTACTGCTTACTAAGGTTTCCAAACCCCGATTAAGAAAAAGTCGACCCGGACCCATTCCAACAGTCTGAATTCTGTCACAAAGGCATCTTAGGTGGGACTAGTCACTAAATTTCGCAACCAAAGGTGTACCAAATCAGTACTACAATTTTCTTTTTGAAATGGAAATACGTACTCCCATGGCGCATCTCCCACAAGCAGCCAGTCTCCTTCTCTGTCTTGATAAACCAGTGTGTAACTAGTAGGCTCTGGGCCACTTTTCGCTCCCTGCACACTGCTCTGGTCTGTGTAAACACAAACCCCAAAGTGAATCAAACACCCATTAGACCTTGCTCGCAGAGAAAAGAAGAGAACGTTTACAGAATAACAGATATCCCTACTTACACTTCCCGAACATGCTGATTACTGCACTGGTAAGGGTCTGATAAGAGCTGTAGAGACTGAGATCAATTTTCCTTCCTATAGCCAAACCTTCCATCTTCACCTTGACGTACTTGGAATTGGGTCCACGGCAAGCGTTCTCGTCTCTATGAATCCGTTCGTCGGCGACTCCTCCACCTTGATGCTGATGGTGAAGCTTCTTCCTCCAGGAGTTGATGGGTGGCCACCCCACAATAGAATTTGCCTCCTCTTCAACCCTGTTGATCACCAATCACCATTAACTATTCCTTTTCATCGCCCCATAACGTAAACCAAGGCAACGAGATTAGGAGTATGTATAAGAAGGCTTACTTGTTGTCCAAGAAGCAAGAGGAGCCTCTATCCCGGCCTTTATAATCGTCGTCGTCGTTTGGCTTGTCGTTCCACGACAGCAGAGGCAGTGTTCGAATTTCTGGGTTAGACTTGTCAAAGGTGTCATCGAAGCTACGTTTGTTATTCTGGTTGATTCCGGAACGGCCACCGTGGCTCCATATTTCAGTACCCACAAGCTGGTTTGGTCCGTAACCGCCGTAAGCGTATTTCTTTAAGTCGAAGTCGGCGGTGGGATGGCTTGGGAGAGCGAGACCCAGCTGAAGCTCCATATCGACCACTCCACAAATAGAACAAGAGAAACAAACAAGGATTACAGAAATAAATAAAATAACAAGAAGAGAACAAAGAGGAGAGATTGGTTTAAGAAATTGGAGTCCTGGATCCTAGTCTGGGATTTTTATAAGGAGAGAGAGAGAGAGAGAGAGAGAGAGAAGTTTGGTAAGGAGGAGGGAGGGAAACGGGACATACCGACAAGAGGGTTAAGAGAGGCGGGACTGTGCGGTCCTGCACAGTGCTACTCCCTCGCTACCTGTCCGTATCACTGCTCGACTTTTTGCCGACCCCGCTGCGATGCTGTCTCCGTGCTCATCGCTTTCGGAGCCGACAACGTCCTTTTCTAGTTTTTAGTTCCAGCACTTAAAATACTCACTTAGACTTTTTCTTTAGCAGTCTCTCTGGTCATACCACCCACCTAGACCAGAGGTCCAGAAGCGGGAGGAGAGCTCCATTGTATTTTCACTTTTATAAACCATGGTATTTTGTACAAGGCTTTTAACGGACCATCCGTTTTGAAGTTTGGGTCAACCATCAGCGTTTCAGCTTAGCTTAGTGGGGCCCGCGGTAGGGCCCTCTGAGTCAGAGCCCAGAGGTGGACGACTGTGGACACTGGCTGTGGCACCCAGGAATAGGATTCCTTTTGCTTCCATTTGATTAGAACTTAGAATCGAAGCGTGGCGTGGCGTTTGTAAAAATTGAAGTTTCATTTCTAAAACGTAGAAAAGTTTCCTGTTTTTTATTTTCTAGATATTATATCCAAATACAAAATTTGCTTTTATAATTTTTAGAGCCCATGTAATCATAGTTTTGAAAACGCGACCGGATCGGACCGGACAGTAGGACCAGTTGACCTGAGTCAGGCAGCGGTTGAATTGTCAATTCAGATAATAATTTTTAGCTTTTTTTGTTTTAATTATTATTTTTTTTAATTAGAATAAGCCATCCTTCGAATCAAACAGTCAGACTATTTAAGTTGAAAACTGGTGGCCAAAACAATTCCATGTTCTATCCGATTTTGAAAACTTTTGCATGTAATAATATTAAAATATAAAAGTATTTTGATCATTATAAATTAATGCCAACTCTCTTCAAATTAAACATATTTATCACTTTTTTGATTAAAAGTTAATGGTAAGGGGATACAAACTTTGAAAAGCAAAACATTTGGAATATCAGCCCGTTTAAACATTATCAAACACTACTCTGGCTGATTCATCGTGATGAGCTCCATTACCAACACCATTAGCCTTGATTAACGGAGACTAATGATAGCACTTAACTATTAACGTTGAAAGGTTGTCGTACCCGATTTTTACCATTAATTTCTTTATAATGGTACAAACAGCAATCAATAACTCAAATTATAATGTTCAATTTCCCATTTGCTTATTAATTCTTTTTTTTTTGTTGACACGTGTGAAACGACAACAATAATCATTAATAATAATAATAATATAGGAAATATAAAATAAAAGTATTACTAAAATATAATAAAATTTTTACTAGCATAACAAAAATAAGAAGAGTACTTAAAATTTTTTATCATTTTTAATTATTATAAAATTTTTATTCATATATTATTTATTATTATAATAGTTAATTATTATTATTTCAATAATAACAAAATTAATTAGTAAATCAATTAATATTAATTTTATATTTTAATAATATTAGAATATTGATTATCATATTGAAATATTTTATTAATTACATTAATAAAATATGGACTATCATTGTGAAATGGATGAATGAGAGTTATTGAAAGGTGTCTTACATTAAAGAGATGAGTCACAAAGCATTAAAGCTGTATTTGATGAATTGATGAGAATGGTCAATTTCATGTGAATCTTATGTGAACATATGATATTTGCTATTTTACTACTAATAGCTCTCAACCTTTGAGTGAGGGAGAGAAATAAATAATCAATAAGAGATAAAAAGAGGGGATTCGGGTGTGAAGAGAGGGGATGGTGATTGGTGGATGGTGGTGGCTGGTGGGAGACAAGACGCAAGGAGTGTGCAAATATAACCAAACAGCGTTCACGTTTGGTAATTGCCTTGTTTGGGATTATTTGGTTGTAAGCAGTACGCCGCGTGTAGTAGTTGCTGAGTCCTCACTTACAAGTTTTAAGTATGTAACTCATTACTATCAAAATAATGAGTTGGGTTGTTTCTTTAAGGCCTTTGGAAGTTATTTATTCGGTTAAAGTGTTTTGTGGCTAATATTTATTTGGGTAAATGTATTTATCTATGTTCTTTTATTTTTTAAATTAATAAAATAATAACTGTTTGGCCATAAAAAACCATTATTAAAAGGAGAAATTTTGTCCTATCCAAGTATTAACAACTTTCCCCTTATGTGGAAATATAAGTGATACCTAGGGAAAATAAATTTTCCATGAACCTTACATAAATCTGAAAAAATAACATTGGTATCTTGAGAGGGGAAATAAATTTCCCATTGACCAATTTTCCCCCTCCCAAAATCAGAAAAACAAGCAAGCCCTAAATGAATCACTTAACCTGTTGGCACTTTGTGAGAGGAACAAGAATTAATGTAAATGGAATTGTAGGACTTTTTAAGTCATATGGAGCCATAGCTCCGCCTGCCACCCCTGCCTCCACCCATGCTATAGGGTATGTCTAATTGATCTAAGTAAGAGAGAAACAAAAAGTTGAGGGGAGCTTTCTTGGCTCAGTTTGGAAAGAGTATAAATGCAAATGCAAATATGTATGGTACAAATACATACAAAATAATATAAAATATAAGGTTTTGCACTCTATGTATTTGCATTTATACTCCTTCCAAATACTCATGCTGTTCTACAACATAAATGCTTTTCTCTTCATTTGTGTTTAAAATCACCACATAAGAAAACAAAATTGAAACAGATTTTCTTTGAGAAGCAAAATCAAGTTGGATTTATTTCCCAAAAAAAAAATCACGTTTTTGAAACCATCAAAACAATGGTTTCTAAAATAAATTAAATTTTGGAGCATAGATATGATATGATTTATAAAACATTATATCAATCAGTTAAATGAAACTATGTTCTTTTAAATCTAAACTTCAATAACCAGCTCTTGGCTTCAGCTTTTGAAACAAAAAACATATTCAACCAAGAACATATATTTTATGTTTGGGTAAATTGTTAAAATCTCCTCTAAATTTTGGTAATTGCAATCACCTTTCCTGAATTTGTTGACATAGTTACAAGTATACCCCCTATGTAAGAATCATCTAACAAGAGGCATAAAAATGTCTAAAACACCCATGTAAATACTTATGACCAAAACGTTTATTTTCCTAATTTCCTTTTCATATCAATCACTACCTCAAATCTTTTCGATCTCTTTTATTTTTTTTAAATTGATTTATTTTCCAAATTTGCTTATTATATCAATTGCTTAAAGATAAAAGTACAACTTTAAACTCTTTTTTTTGTTATTGTTCATAAAATTTATAGTGTTTTTTCTATAGAAATCAGCTTCATTGGTAATTGCATGGGTATTTTGGACATTTTTACATATCTTATTAGAGGATCTTAACTGTGGTAATCAAATTGCAACTGTGTGAAAAAGTTCAAAAAAATTAATTATAATTACTAAATTTCAATGGAAATTTCAGCAATTTACCCTTTAAATTTTATCAGATGATTTTGATTTCAGCAATCACAATAAGAAAAGCAACCCTGGAGGCTAGAAAACCCTGTTCATCCGTTAATACTCGGAATTCCGGATTCAAATTAAACTTCAACTGCTGGATTCATATCGGACGTGGACTTGGATCCGATAATCAATGCGTAATCGTATCAATGACCCGAATTCAATTCAAATTTAGACAAACCAAACGCGTACGTACAGATTGAATGACGCCTCTTGAGGTACCACGATTTAACACGGGATTCCAACTAAAAGCCATTCCGGGTCGTGGTCACTCAGTACGACTGGTCCCGCCCCGTTGGCCCTATCAATTCCCACTTGATCGAACCCGTCAATGGTGGGTGGATACCCACTCAACCCTACTTTTAGTTGCAGTGAGCCACTGAGCCAGGAGCAGGACCACCCCGGGGTAGAATATATAGATTGCCTCGCCGTCTCTTTCAACGGCCACTCACATCATTCACAAACAATTTCGGTCTCAGTAGAAGTTACCTCCATGATTTAACACTCCCAACTCAAATTCCATCTGCATATGTGTACATAGTTGATTTGACTCGGATCCGAGTTGACCCATTAGGTTTAACTTCCCAAGTAAAAGCCAGAGAAAAGAATTAGGGATAATAGTATATAAGGACAACTTTTGGGGTTTAATATCAATAAAAATAATATTTTTAATTTTTTTAAAATATGTTAATTTTTTAAAAATAATATCAATAAAGGGCAAAAACACTGTTTATCATCTTCTTCTTGTCATTTGTTCATCATCGCCACCGCCCGCCGCTGGCCGGAGGCAGAGGTGGCGGTGGCGGCGTTGGTGGTCATTTCTCTGCCCAATGCCGCTACCTCCGCCCATCTCCACCTCTACCTCCAGCAAAGTTGTCAGAGATGGGTGGAGACAGAGGTGGTAGAGGCGAAGATAGACGGTGGCGCTAGTGAATAAATGGCAAGAAGAAGATAATGAACAGTATTTTTGCCCTTTATTGATATTACTTTTAAAAAAGTTAATCTATTTTTATGTTTTTTTTAAATATTACTTTTATTGATATTAAACCCCAAAAATTGCCCTTATATGCTATTATCCCAAACAATTATCAACATTCAACAGTCAACAGTTTCAACATCAAAGCTTAGGGACCTCCACCCACCCACATTTGTCTAGACGGAGTGGCTCCTGTCTCATTAGTGATGTATGGGAATGGACCAGTTCAGGGGTCTTATGTGCACTAGTTGGGGCATAGAGATAGGTTCCCTGGTCAAAAAAGCTATTTATGCTCTCATCACTAAAGGGGTACCTGACCCAAGAATCGTTGGCAAGTCCCATTAAAGAAGGGCCTGTTCGGTGGTGGTTGTGACTAATAATCTCTATGTCGGATTAGGGTTCCCCATTTTCATTGAAGATTAAGCAACTAATGAGATTGAAATTGAGACTGAGAGAACCACGCTGCCGTTCCCAGGACACTAACCTAACATCCCACACTCCCCTATTCAATCGAATAAGACTCCTCTAAGGCCTAAGCCACATTCCTATGCTCAATGTTTGGGGGCATGCGTGTGTACTGTGTTCGCGTGAATGGTACGTGGGCGAGAGGCGAGGGGGGCCTTGTGCCGTGGCATCTCTCTGCAGACTGCCTTTTTTCATTCCAGAGGAGGAAGCATCCATCAAACACCTGGTCCTGGTGGAGAATCTGTCGACTGGTTAATGATTCGTACCCAGCACCAAGGTGTGGCCGTGTGCCGTGTGGGAAACCCTT